TTAATATTACGAAATACTACAGGTGACAATTAATGACCATACCACCATTAGTGCCGGTAATGCTAATGGCGACGAGAAAATATCAAATTTCACAAATTTTTCTTACATTTCATCGATTTACGGATTACGAATTATTACGTAAATCAGTTGTATAAGATTTATGAATTACCGAGAAATTAGAATGTATGTAGTACGTAGAGACTAGAGACTACGTACTGCGTAGCCACTTTATTTCTTACGAGAACATTTCGCTTATCGAGGGAGCAAAATCGATGTAAGCCGTCGTTCACTTCTGCAACTATTTCATCGTCCTCGTCGAGATCATCAAAATCCAGCTGACTTCCGTAAAAATCCAAGTCCAGATCATCTGCATTTAAAAAAAAGAAAATATTATATTATTACATGTGCAAGACAGATAAACATTGTATAGAGTAGTCTACAGAGTACAGACTACAGACGTTTATGATATATCAGAGCCACTTGTATCAGCAAGCGTTTTTGCCTGCGAATTTTACCAAATATGAATCGTCCTTGGCTTTCGTCAGTACACCCGGGCATCCACTGCTCGAACGCTTTAACTATGTTTCGGCCAATATCCACGCCAATATACCCAATCTTGTCTCGTATGTCGTACTGCGCTATGACTTCCACAGCCAGGGTGGCTATATCCTCCGCTTTATGCGTGCCGCTAAAGCGCGGACAGGCAAGCATGTAGCGGCGGAGAGTTCCCCCGCGGTCCAAAAAATGCACAGTCATCCCCAGATATCCACGCTTCGAACGACTACTCCATATATCGATGCACAAAGCCACAGACTTTTCTTCCGTTTCACGCAACATCTCCTTCAGATCGTCTTTGGCAGTCCGAGTCATTTCTTGTTGTCTGTGACTGATTGTCCATCTCGACGGCCACTAGATAAAAATCGAAAAATATATTATTAAATTTTCATTGAATGTTTGTATTTGTCAGCGATTCAGTGGCATGGTGTACAAATTTTGATCAAAGCGTCATCAACTATCAGCAATATTAATCTGTAGCGTACAAATTCGAACACATTTGAAGCAGACTTACTGTCAGTTTCGCATCGATATCTTTTACTAAGTCATCAAACGTCCGGTCTTCAAGGATTCTCAAGGGGCAAGCTGTTTTTGCGTAAATTTTGGCGACATTTTCCACCAGCCGTTTCTGCTTCGGATCGTTAGCGCTGTATGGTTGTCCCGATCGAACCCCGAAACTCTCCAGTTTGGCTTGCTTCTTCGTCGAACCTTCTTTCGGACTTGCTGCCTCTTGAAACGCAGTGACCTCCTAGAAGTAGTACGCTGTTAAAATCAACGTAAATTAAGACAAAAATACATATTACTAAGAAACACAAATACAGTAACTCGGTAATAAATGCAGTCAATAATAAATCCTTGTAAATACTTTAATACAGTAACTCCGTAAATCGTTAAGCCAAAGATTTTGTCGCTGCAAAATAATGACTGAAAAGTCGCACAATCCAAACGCTGCGCAAAACAGTATTTAAAGTGTAATTGAAGTCATTACTTTAGCAAATGACAGTAAGTGTTCATGTTAGTATTATTTTTCAGCAATAAATGCGGTGATACGTCTTACCTGCACTTTACTGTGATGTCCCTTCACATGGACGGCGAAGTTGCTATAGCTGTTGACAGCTTTGATAAGCTTCCCATTAGGGCAACTGGGAGTAACACAGAGACGACATATTCCCGAATGATTTCTCTGCTGCACGTCCTTCTTGCTTTTCCCGTTAACTGTAGCTCTGTCCGTGAAAAACTCTCTGAAGTACTCTGCGTCTGCTCTTCGCACACTACCATCCCCAGCCGATGCTAGCGGTGGTTTCGAGACTTTCGACGTTCCCGCTTCCATGGATCGCAAAATTTAAAGATTCAGAAAAGAATTTCGGACTGCTGCAGAGCACAACGAGATCATAAAATGCAGTAAAACTTTTACGTTTGCCCTGATAAAATTGCAAGCTGGCTGGAACTACAGCTGTGCGCTTTGCCGTTACTGGTAGCAGTTCACTGCATTACGATTAGCATGTACAGTACATGTCGATGAATACTTATAGGTACGCAGCCAATGCCTAAGGGTGGTAGTGCTGTGCGCAGGTTTAAGCAACGGAGTCGACGAATGTTTGTGGCATTTGAATAAATTGTTCAATCCTAGTTCGAAATAATAATTGCATTTGTGCTTTTTAATTTAATTAATAACTTTAAACCACGGAGTTGCGCTAGAGTTACGCTGCGCTATTTTACATTCGCGCTACGTTAGAGCTAAGTTATCATCGGAGAGAGCTACGCTACAGAGTTAAGTTTTAACGTTTTAACTCGATAGCTCGAAAAAAGCTCGCGCTACGCTAAAGAGCTAAAAATAACTGCACAGGTCTGGTAGTGATCTGCCGCAAACCTGTCGTAGTATGCTTTTCCGGAACCAAAGCGAAGTGGACGCCTTGGGGTGGCCAGTGACGGAGGCGGCTGTCAAGGCTAGTCAGCAGATGGCGCTCGATTATTGCTATTATTGCCGGTATAAATCACTGCTTCTTTCTTAATAGTGTTATCCTGTATGCACTTTTATACTTTGTCATTTTCTCGTTTATTTAACGTAGGGTAATGCTCCACGTTTATACAGTACAAATTGCCGTAATAAAATATTTCCCGTATGAATACATTCCCGTCAGAGTTCTGTGGCGACTGTGGTAAAGCTAATGTATAGTTTTGATGTTATGCAGCTCCTAGCCAACGACTCCCCCCAGTGCGTGTTCGATCTGCCGGTCCGTTGTGCGCATGATCCGGCGCTTTTGCTGCATCTTCCCAAAGAGGGTTCCTGGTACATCGCGGAATTTGCCAGCGTCGTGGCTAAATCATGCCAGCTGTCCATCCATCCCTTACGCGTTAACCGCGCTTTCGAATACTGTGCCTGAGAACGTGGCAATTTTGATGTCGAGTTGCTGCATATTAATAGAACCGCGCTATTAGTTGCCTCGCACAACGCCACCAGCGCGCGATACAATTACTGCGAGTACGTGGAAATGATTCTGTTCTCAGTGTCGGGGTATATTCAACGCGTTTGTTTTGTGCACCTTACAGATATATGCGCCGGTTTGTAAGCGGACTAGAAGGCGCGGCAAAAGCGGAACTGGTGGAGAAATGCGGTCGGGAAGCGATGGAGGTACTGCAAGACGCTTACCAAAAACTGCATGATGCCCATTGCTCCCAGTAATTTTAAGCTGGTTAATTCCTTTTCTAAAATTAACAAAACTGCCGAATCTATTAATTTAAACGATTTCCTGCACCAACGATCGAAACTTTGTTGTCGATAACGTTGCAAACAGTCTTATCCAAACGCCACACTTCTTGAGAAAATTTTCATCATTTACTGAAATATTCGACAGGCAGCCGAAAATTACGCATTATTTTCAGTAAGCACCTGTTGCATAAAATTATGGCGACCGTGCGGTGTGCCAGTATGCAGTTAAGACCGCAGTTATGGGATTATTATGCGATATATCACATGACATGCTTCGGACGGGTGTGGAGAAGTTGGTGAATGAAAATGTCTGAAGAGCACTCGCACTCGGATATCTCTTTTAGTACGGCGTAGTGGTTTGAGAAAAGAACGCATAGAGGCATTATCAGTTTGTGCATATTTGGCATTGCTGTACTCCCTGTTGTCCATGGTTCCCGAAATCTACCAGCCAAAGAAGAGTGTTTGACGAAAGCAGCTATAGAATAATGGATACAGCAGATCCAGTGCGAGATCCACACCGAATGTATCCGAAAATTCAGTTTGCGTTAGATTTGCCAATAACTGAACGGATTATATCCTTGTTTATGGTTTTTACCAACGAGCGTGTCAGGGCGGTTTTGCTGTCGGCTTTGAGTAAAGATTCAGGAGCTTTGGTTAAATGAGTAATACGTTAGCTGCATGCGCTGTTTGGGCATGTTCCTGAGCGACGAAGATGTCAGAATCGAGTAGCTTTGCGATTTCGGTTACCAGTAGCGGTGACGAAATCTAGGGACACCACGGTCTATCTTGCAGGCCGACAACAAACAACAAAAGGCCGATGAGCGCGCAAGAAAGAAGCAGCATCGCGAGGACTGTTGTAAAGCGCGGTCGTTTTCCTTACGAGCTAGAACCTTTCGCCTTTTCACGCAGCAACTGGAAAAGACCGAATGGGATGACACTGATACCTGTTCATCAAGGAAACCCATCGTTTGAGTTGTCACAAACTGGTGTACGGTTGCGGATTCTCACGTTACCGCAATCTCGCTCCAGGAAATGAGGCACCGTGGCCCATCTCGGTGAAAGTTCAAATTTCCAAACGTGGAAAGTACTAATTTTTTGAAAACAGTTACCTTTTCCCTTTTAGTAACAGAATCGCTGGGAGTTTTCGGTCTTGTTCTCCGTGAATCGCTACATTCCATGGGTCATAAAATTCGGGACTAGAGAGTAGAGACGCGCGCTCTATGGCTTTTCTCAAGTTCCGTCTTAGCCTTGCTGTTGTTAAAGGAAATGCTACGGCTGTTTTGAGCTCGTTGCCTTTTAACCCAAGAGAAGACAGAGATTTTGGTTGTTTTAAAGCTTTAAAATTTTAACTATCAAACCAGCGCCTGCAATTTTTGTGATACAATATCTGGGAGGCTACTGCCTATAACATTCTTACTTTTTTATGTATACAAACTCAAGTGTTACGCCATCATCCTGCAAAAAAACGAAGATTTTCTGAGAGGGAGGCCGGCGGCGCTGCCATGGTTAATAATTTGCTGTCTTTTGCAACGGCATAGATGTTTCCTCTAGGGTCGGAGTCTAGGCACTCAAAATCGTTTGATCTTACAAGAACTAACTAACACCATGTAATACCAACGCAAACGTAAGGCCTCAGGTTGACAAAAAGAATACTAGAAGCAAAAGCTCACAGGAAAAGTTTATAAACGTTTTGTTAAATGGTTTCTGTCAAGGTAACGTTACAATAACGTTCGACAAAAATCGCGTGCGGTTGCATTTTTTTAGGTATACACTTCAGTCCGCGATCTTTCATACTGAGTCTGGCCTAAACGTAATGCAGTTGACTGAATGCTATATTCCAACCTGAATCCATAGTTATTACGACACACGCATCGAGAGTCAAACCGAGACTCAAACATCAAACACGCACATCGAGACTCAAACAGCAGTGACAAAAATGGACGCATTTTCATTACAAACTTGCTCGTTAATTGAATATTCCGTACGAGAGAAATTGAAGAAATCAGGATTGTCAAAAAATGGCACTTTACTGCAGTCAGCTGGGACGTAAAGATATTTGGCCTTGTATCCTGCACTGCGCATAATGTTCTCAATGTGAAAAACATATCCGGGCTTCGTCCCAGCAATCAGCGCTTTGTTACTGTCAATCCATGATCTAAATTTCGAAAACCGGCAACCGCAGTGAAGGTCTTCGATAAACTGGAGATACCGTAAGCCAAGCTTTTCCCGCTGTTTGCTCCAATCGTTCTTGTTGCAGTGAATACAAAGCTCCATACTCAGCACTCTTAATTCTGGTAGACCAGCAAAAGCGTCCCATTCCAGTGCCTGGATTGTGCTCCGGTAGAACAGAACGGTGGTTAATCTGCCTAATCCCAAAAAGTCTCTCCTCCGAATGGAAAGGTCATAACAGTGACTCAACGTCAGCACCAGCAAATTGTTGAAGCGGAATTGGACTAAGGCCCTCGTGGACCCATGGCTGGCACAGTTAGAAATCGTGAAAGATATCACTTGCCGGCGGATAGGTTGGAAGATTTCTGCATCAACACTAACCGCATCGTACCACAACAAGGTCACCGCTTGCAAGGATTTACTGACTTCGGCTGTTAACTGGCGTAGTTGGTCGAGCGATGGGTTCTTCTCACACTCCAAGCGAATGTATGTTGTACCGGTGCACTTGAAACTGACGGAGATGCAAGGAAATCTTTTGAAACGAGCGCACTCCAATGGACTTAGAGTGGGCGGGAGAAATGCCGGAAACGGCTCCATATGTGTTTTTTCACGTCCAATAGTGCAGTTATAGGCAGTATTAAGCTTAACCACATCGGTTGCACTTAAGCCGCGTCTCTGGCCCATTTTAACGTTACTTCGGTATTTCGGAAGTAAAACTGGCTGGTAGCCGTTGGCAAAATCGTACGGTCCGAAATGCATGATGGATTCCAAATCGTACGCTGTGCTGTAGGAAGGCATCTTTGACAAAATCTGGAACGGCGATGTAAGGTTTGTTCGGCTTGCATCGAAATTCACGTAGTTGTCCCGATCCGGGCGTTGGTGTTCATGGAAAAGTCCAAGTGAATGGAGTACTAAATGCTGAATGATCCCAGTGGAAAGACAAGCGGGCGTCAGACTGATCATCTGCGCGCCTCCTTGACGTCCAACGGGAGATCGGCAGCCCGAGTTTCTGAAATTAAAGTTAAATTGCAAAAACAAATTTTTATTTAGGGTTTTGGTTCTTACGCTTACGTGTTTGATGGTAGAAAGTATATAAAATCGACCTCCGACGTCTTTTTGACGAAATTGAGGCAGCGCGCTGTTCTGAGATGAATGTCGTCCAGAGCGCTTTCGATCAACATTACGTCTCGCCAATCTGAAATATTCAGCTTGCCAGTTGTATAAATACGTACTAAATTTCTGACGCGTCATAGCAACACTGGTATACATAATTGTATATATCAAAGGCAAATTGTGTGAGGAATAGTCGCAGTAAATGCGCATACAGTTAACGACTACTCTGGACAGATACAGTGTTTACTAGGTCTTGTTCCCTAAGTAACGAGAAATTTTTCGCAACCAGCTTTTCATCTTGCATACGAGTATCAGTTGTACACATATGGCCCCGCGAAGTGTGCGAAATGACGCTTCTGGTAATCACGCTGAAAATCTGCGGTTTTTAGGTCCGCATTATGTCAACGGTTAACCGTTTTGTTGACCGCCATACTTTACATCAGAGGTGTCTTGTTGGCTCACTTTTATAGAATAAACTTACCGAACGCTTTGCTGATAAGAAACGGAACCGTTCTATCTGGCCAGAAGCGTTGCTTAGACAGTTCGCCAGTTCTGGAAGCCGGTTCGGTGGTGTTCAGCCACTGGTCATCTTGAAAATGCATGTTTCCGTGAGGATTGATTGCAATAGTTAGGATTTGTGATCGCCTCTCTTTGACAGTGGTTTTGTGAACAGACGTCGCTAAAGAAAAAACGTTTAAACCAAACCTTCAATACATTTCGTAAAGGCAGAGTAGTTGGCCGACTGGTCGATTTCCACTAGTCTTTTTAATCTAGAAAAGGACTACGATACCGTCGCTATAGTACTAACCGCAAAAATGATACTATACCTTCTCCATTGTGGACATTGTTTAATCGTAATTCTGTCATGTTGGCGAGTTTGTTGATCATTTTTGGTAGAACTGATTTGCCCGTTGTATAGTTATCCATGCAGTCGGGTGCATTAGCGGAAAAGTTCATCAGCCCGAAGTCGATGTAATCGGTGTTATTTGGGAATAGTTTATCACCGCAGTCTACAGGAATGTATAAGTCCTGCTTGCCGAAGCACACTAAAGCGTTATGTAAAAGTCCGGCTTTAGGCAGAATCGAGTGTACAGGGCGTTCAAGCAAGTAGTATCCATGGACGGAAGGAGATCCCAGAAAAAAATGGCATTCTTGAACATTTTCCGTTTGAGTGAGAACTGGCTCGTTGGGAGAAACGTACTTCAGCTTGGGGATGAGTTTTGAGGCCCACCAAGAACGAAACCAATCATATTGACAGCTGCAATGGAGCTCCCAGAGATACTGACGCGTGGCGTTCGACCAGTTTGCATCGTCGCGCAGTCCCGCTTCCAGCGACAGAACACTTAAACGTGGTAAATAACTAAAAGATCCAGGGTCCAGAGAAGATAGCGTGGATTTAAAGAGAAAAATCATATCTAAATTGGGCATCCCAGCGAAATCATTTTTCTTGATAACCAGACGGTAGCAGTTCGCCACAGCGAAATACACCAGGTTAGTGAACTCCAACCCGGTAAGCTTTCCTATAGCGCGGCGATCAACACAGTTTCTAACATCCAGATAATACACTCGTGTTCTAATAACGGCGAATGTCGAATACGAAATGTAGTCACCATCAACCAGAGAAACTGTTAGGTCCCTGGACGACAGTTTAGCCATATCATACGTCATATCCTGCAGCTCTCGGCTGGTTATTCCAGCTTGACAGGTAATGTCCAGAAAGCCACGATTTCCTGCACGAAAACAATAGTCTGTTGGCGAAAGTAGTTTTCCGCTACCACTAGGCCTGCATTTCGTATTAAACTGGGTTAGACATTCAGTTAAGGTCATGTTGACGGGGTTTTCTGGTGGAAACAGAAGGGCCGGTTCGCCGGGCCGCTCCTTGGATCGGTTTTGCTGGCAGCTTATCGGGGCGTTAATGGAGAAATTCCTCTGTGTAAAATCGATCATGTTCAAGTGAGAAGGGAACGGTTGCGCTGCACAATCTATAGGCAAAAAGATTTCTGAAATTTGCAGATCGGTATTCAAGAACGGCACCCTGTTTTTACTGGAATTGGAGGGATTTTTTATGAGTTTGCTCGCCTTCCACCACTGCCGAAACCAGCCCAATTCGCAGCTGCAGTGCATGTATCGTAAAAAATCTTGCATCTCTGCAGTAAACACTGGAGATTGATGCACTCGTAAGTGCCATGCAAGAAGCTCCAGATGTTCCAGGTTGGTAAATGTGCCCTTTTCCAAATACGTCAGCGTCGTGTTTGTGAAGGTGATTACGCTGAGTTTTCGAGAATACGCAAAATCCTGCTTGCGGACATTCACCCCGCGGCACTCAATCATCCCGAATTCCTTTAGATTAGAAAAACCAAGCGAAGGAATGCGGGCTGTTGCTTGACTTACTGAGCAAACAAGCATAATAAGCGTGGTTACTTGGTCGCGGATTGGGCGGAAAGGTTCGGGCGTTATTTGTGATTCAACAAGAATAATTCCTACTTCACGCAATGGATATTTTGCCATAGCCGACGTCATGTTCCACAAAATGTTCTCATCGGCGTGCATTGTGCAAGCTATAATAAGGGCTTTGGCTGTTCTGCAGTGTCTTCTGTCAAGCGTAGTTAATCCACAGTGCTCATTAAACTGCACATCACACTCTTCTGGAGCGAGGAACGTCTGGTCAAACCGGGGAACCAGTTGGTCGCTGGTCAGATATTTTCCAGTGTCCACCTGGCAGTTGTAAGCCACCCGCAGTTTAGCTGCATCTCGCACTGCTAGCCGCTTTCGCTGTCCCATGACCATTTGAGCATCGGCTACGCGCCGCTCAATAACCGGAATACGATGGGATACAGCGAAATCGAACGCGCCGTAATGCATAATGGATTCCAGATCGTACTCGATTCCGTATGTTCGTGCCTTGGGTTTAATGTTGAAATTTGCCTCGCGACCCGGCATAATTGCGTCAGGGTTAATATCAATGTAGGCATCGCGATCCGGTCGCGAATGCTCATGATACATTCCTAGCGCATGCAGGATTTCGTGCTGCACAATGCCCGTCACCATGCAGGAGGCATTTAAATCGTTTCCCAAATAAAGCGGTTGCCCGGCACCTCCACTGTGTTGCTTCATTCCGAGGAAGGATGAACAACTGAATAGCGCACACTTTGCCGTTTATTTAACAATTAGCGCACGTTAAAAACGGTGCCGTTCAAAATAAGCAAGAACTCTTGAAGATTATTCAACGTGAACAGAAAGTAGACTAAATCTGCTGTAAAATTGTGAGATAACAGTCACTAAACTCACTATGTTCCGGCTTCAGTCACTATTATGACCGGGACATTATGATATTGCTGCGACAGCTGCGTATACGCGGCGTTTGTTGTATAATTGTATTTGTTACCAAAAAAATAAAAACCTTACTAGATGTTTTTATACTTACTTGTCTCCATGTTGGAAGAGCACAAAGTCCTCTTGAACGGTTCTCTTCACAAAACTAACGCAGCCGGATGTTGCATCTTCGATCCGACGCATGGCATCCTCGACAAGGAACTTGCTGGATGCGTCTGTTCAACAAAATTTTTGCACGCTCAATCTGACCCTTAGGTAGTTACTAACCCCGCGTGATATTTCACAATTATGTAACTCACCGAACAGTGAACTGATCGTGTAGGGAACCCGTCCCCCCGGCCAAAATGTAATACTTTCTTCCCACTGCGTGTCTGCAAGCGATGTGCAATATGTGGTGATATAACTGATATTATACGGACATCCCTATACTATTAACTAACAAAATTAATAAAGTGATACTATAGCCACCTTAAACACCCGTGATTTTTTCTAGCCACTAATTTTCCACACCCCGCTAATTACAGCCTATAGGCACCCTTTTTATTTAATTCAATTAGTTTTTTGACAATCCTTTTTATATAGGCACCCTTTAAGTAGTAAAGTGAATTTCTGCGTACATTTTTTCAGTACATTAGATGCGGTACTTTAACGTCTTTAAAGTACCGTACGTTAAAGACTTGGTATTCTGTAAAGTACTGCTTTAAAGTCAACACGTTAGATACCGTTACTATTATGATCGGCGTTGATCGCTCAACTCCAGAAAGTGCTTCCCGGTATCCAAAAAACGTAAACAAACCTTGGAGATTAGCAATATCAGCAGACCCGATTTTTTGCATTATCCCTATAATGGTGCAGCAATGTTTATGTCGTCACGTTCATCATGACTTGTAGACCAAAGCGATTGTTCTCCGCCAAATCTATCCTTTAGAATCTACTGATAACTTGCCTAACGAATATGAACCATTTACAAGTTTCGAAGAGGCTTTCAAGAAATACCAAGCAAAGACTTTTCAGACACATGTGATTCGACGATCCGCGAAATTCTTGTAATCAGGTGGAAATTATACGTCATAATAGAAAACACAATAAAGCTAAAAAAATGAAAGCCAAATGGATGTAATAAAAATCAACAACAAGGATTCTATTGAGAGCCAAATGAAAGCCAAACGGATGTCTATAAAAATCATCGCTTTTCTGAGACAACGATTAAGTCTAGCTGTAATCCGTGGAAATTCAGCAGCCGCTTTTGGTACACTGCCTGCCCGTTCGAAGGCCATGAGTGGCAGTAACGATTTTGGATGTTTTTTTAATGTTTAAATTCGATCATTTTTATTATTGTAAATCAGCGCAAGCATTTTGTTATGTATACTGGCTGTTGTCGAAATATACTGCCGCTCTCAACAAGGGTTCTATTTAATTAATACTAAAATACTGGGGCTAAAAAAAAACGGGGTGAGAAGGGGAGGCTATAGTGATTTCCAACAAATAATAGGGTAGCGTTTGGCGAAAGTATGTAATTCATCTGCTCACATGTTGACTATGGCACATGTCGCTACAAATCAGTCATTTGACTCCTATTAAAAGTAGCACGGAATTCGTGGGCTGGTAATTTCTTTTTTTCTTTTTTGCTGTTGCTGTTTTTCTGCAAATAGGGATAAACTATAAGCCGTATTCCTTAATTTCCTACCGTTCACTACCGATGTATTGACTGGGTAAAGCGATGAGCCGCTGATATTAATTGCGTCAGCATACACAATGTCGTCCAGTGCTACATTTACGGTACTTCGCTCGGACAGTCGATCACGTAGCGAGGTTTCGTTGATCCCGTTATTCATGTCTAAAGATAATGTAGAAATTGCGATTGCGGTTGTTATGCGGTAGTAGCAAAATGGAGTAAAATGCACGTTGGCGAAAATCTAACCTTCCGCAATGAAATCATTTTCCACCTCTTCGTCTGGGTAATCCCGTGCATCCCTGTACGCGGATGAGCATGGCGCAAGAATAATGCAACAAATTATTGCCGCACAATAGGATGGGCGGCGCTGCCTTCGATAGCTCGCGTCCATAACAAAAATCTGCCAAGAATTCGATATGCAAAACATTCCAGAGATACAAGGCAGATAGCAGACATAGATATTGATGTTAGTGCTGTTGGTTGCAATTTCTGTTTATATCCTTCTGGGTTTTCAACACGCACCCTTTCAACATGTTTTCAACACGCACCCTTTCATACACCAACTTAGTTCAAACGTTTTGCGTTCTGCCGAAGACAGATTTTTATCGAATCTGTTGAAAGTGGAAATTTGACAGCTTTAACTGTACGTATCAGAGTCACAAGCAACAAGCACATGAAATTAAACTGTTGCCATATCAAGATGGTTGCTCATAGCGTACTTCTATGCCTCATACGATGCACCAGTTACGGTTGCATAAATTCTGCTAAGCTTAACCGCTGCAAACAAGCGGAAGCGGCACCATAAAATTTAAAAACAGTTTGTGCAAGCAAAATCACGGGTAACATGGTTAAAGTTAAGCGCCTGGCAGTTCGGTTTCAGGTAATTTCGTGGCTATGAAGGAATTGTAGCATTTTTAAATAGTCAAAATTATCGTCATCTTTTGTTTTGACTGCTGTTTAATTCCTTAAAACCACGTGAAAATAAGTTAACTGTCTGGCTGAGCTGCTGACCGAGGTCGAAAAGTGTTTCATTGCTCTTGTTGGGGTTTCAAACGTTTCCCTGTCACAACTCCATTTATGCCGCTACGGAATCTAAGAACGCAAGAACTTTGGTTTAGTTATTGGTTAATGGCCAACAATCGAGCCAGTGAATCTCCCAGATCACCAGCTGTAAAAAATATATGCATTAATGAATATACCGTTCACAGTCCTGCCGGTACAATGTACAGATGCACTGACCACTCATGCAACAGACAAATTGCCCAGTACGATCTGGACCCCCCCAAAAATCCTAAAATGAATTTCTTACAGCTTAGAAGCAGCCGTTCTATTCACTCATGCTGTTTTTAAAATTTTAAAATCAAAGGCAAGAAATTTACTGCCAAAAAGCCGAATCACCGTTACCACCGCACGGTGAGGACTGTGGATTCGCTGATGCAGTTACAGTTTCTATTTTCAAGCCATCAATAACAAAATCACAGCAGAGCTGCCAAGAAAAACAACATCGGGTACTAATCATTCCTGACCAGCCAACCTAAAAGCTAAAAAAACGTCCTCGTTGTCTCGCATCTCATTAAATGTTCCAAGGACAGACACCGGGCTTCCGCGTTGTATCTCAATGCTGATTCTCTGACGCAAAAACTCTCCCGACCGAGGGTTACCACTACATTCGCAAATTTGTCTTGACAGATCTTTGAAAAATTTCTTTGTTAGCGGTCTAAACGTTTCCGTAGTTTCAAAAGCCAGGGGTTGTACCACCTACTACTACGTATCGATCCGCAAGTCCATCGTACTTCCGTAACTTCTGATTCTCTCTCACTTCCGCTGCGCTTCCTGGAACACGTGATGTATGGCCTATGTAGGTCTGGGCGAAGGTATCGGCAACAGTGACATCCCGTTACAGTTTCTTTTATCCCAGGTAACTCCCGATTCCTTGATTTATCTTGTGGTTAATGCCAAAGGAGAATCTCGTCGTCGATCTTTCGCTGTCTAATGTCTACAGTGTCAGTGTACATAATACAGATACTCGCACTGGTTATTGCTGTTGACGAAAAAAATAACAGGATCCATCGTTCTGTTATACGTACATAGCAGCAGTACAAAAAATAGCAGAACACAGCAGTACAAAAATTCTCTCAGAAGCACTTGCTGTAACAGCTTCGAATGGCAATCCACAGCTCTTACATGATAGACTGGGACTTCGGAAGCGCTGTAAACCTGAGCAGTTGATGACAAAAATGGCGGCAGAATACTATACAGTAGCAAGAACATTACGACGTAACCACAGTTGTCACATTTTGCTATCGCCGCTCAAAGTCAAATTGTCTTGTTCGGCTGCATTTTTAAAATATTTAAAACCAGGATATCCTTTTAAAAATGAAGAAAACAGCAGTAATAGGTATTTATTTTGCGCATCGCACGCTCGTACAGATACCGCAATGTACCGCAAATCGAATACTGGAATGTGATACTGTAATACTAACGTAGCCCCGTCCACACTGCGGACGTTGGCGAGCTTCGATCAGGAGTTACACGATGGTGTTCAAGACTCAAGAGTATGCTTGGTACAAGTTTTTATGACAGCGAAAGGATGAGTAAGGACCACTGCAGATAAAGAAGTCAGCAGGCGCGTATAAGATAAATCACAGCCTAATAAGAAGGCATATTGTTGTGAGCCTGGTTATCGTCGGCTGTATGCGGAATTTCCTGATGGTCAGGTTTAACGTAGAAAGTCATTTCAGTCCGTAGCCGTAGAAAGTGCGGAAGCGGTGATGGACGTTTGGCCGACCACTCCATTCTACGTGCTAGGTTTGCGGATGATGATGCACGGGCATCTCGTTCACGGTCAAGTAATGTTTCCTATCTCTGCCTCTACTTCCAACAGCCACTGACGCATCGGCGCCAACAAGGAACTGACCTTCCAGGCTCGGTGTCCTTCCATTTGGCAATAAGCTGGCCAGCTGCGGATACGCGGTGATGTTGAAGGGTTGTCCATTTCAGCGCGAACCAGCACAGGATGTGCAAATCCAGCGGCGGCCTGGATCGAACCAATGGGTGGGTTGGCAGCGTGGAGTATCTCGATTTTGTCCTGCATCGGGGCTCCCAGTAGATTTATTTGCTGTTACAAAAAACTTTCGAGCGGTGCAGAGTTGATACCGGCCGCCACGCTATAGTCAGCACGAACTCTGCTGGCACGGATGGTCAGCGTCCGGAAATGAGCTTGCTCCCGCAGCCGGTGCAGATCCATGCAGTACATGACAACGTCAGGATGGTAGTTTTTCTCCGGCCAGTATGTTGCCTGCCACATGTCCGCGGTGAAATGTATGGTGGAAGTGATGTTCTTGTGAAGAGCCGGCACCAGCGCATCAACTGCTCTTGAAACTGTTCGTGATCAGCAAATCCATCCGCTTCCAAAGCAGCATCGAGACTGTTGGTCAACCTTGTATCAAATAGGTAAGAATAATCTTCCTTGCGGAGCAAGACATAACTGGAGATTCGTTCGGAAATTGCTCGAAAAAAATTGGCGCGTCTTGCAAGTTAGTTTTATCGACATCGATGGTAAGTTTTCGGGGATTGGTAGGCAGATTAAGTGCGAAATGGAGAAGCACGGTGAACGTGGTAGCGGTGCCGTTTTGTAAAGCACGCTGCGTCTCGAAGCACACTTCCCTGGTTGAGATCAGATGCGGAAACTAAGGATTTGTGGCAGGGTGGTAATCTGATGCCACGATGTACAGTACGAGCGTGATAACTGCCAACGGAATACGCACTGGGAAGGCAGCGGAAACGTTTCACTCTTTCCGTTTCCTGTTTTCTAACTAAAGTAATTTCTTATCTGCTGCACGTAGTTCTCATCTCATATTTTCAACATTAATTCCAAGTAGGACGAGTCGATATGTGGTTGTATATCATTTCGGTTGATCGGACAGCAGAGTGGCCATGGATGCGAAGAAGAAGGTAGGGTCCGCTGCGTTGGACGGCGTCTGGAAGATGGCAATCTGCCGGCCATCGTATGGCACGGTGAAGGTTGGTGAGGAGATGTCTACCAGTGCTGCAATCGCAAAAATTCCTTTTTACGCCGATCGCAGCTTCGATTACCAATAGGTCCAATACCTTACTTCAGAATTGAATTTTTGTTCAGACTGGCGTACGGCAAGCAATCTGATGGATATACAGTAAACCAATTGCGTCGTCCAACTAGCTGCCTCTCGTTTCTGCAGTGCTGCGAAAGTTAATATGTGCCGTACATTAGTAAGATTGCTTGCTTTACACATATTGCACACGTATCATAATTATTATAATGCTGAGGTACTGTAGAAGGCGTTTGGAGGGCAGCATAACTGATAAACGCGCTTCATCCGAGAAGGTGATAACAGCTGTGGTAATAATGACAATCACGACGCAATTGCCGTCATTATCGCCACGAAGTATCGAATTTTGACTCCTGTTTCCCTAAACAGGAAGTCACAAGTGCAATATGACAATATCCAATAGATAAATGCTTGGTCGTCACTGATTGCCCAGAGTTTTACCGGAGACCGGAAGCGTTTTAAAGGGCAATTCGATCGACCAGTTTATTAGCCGTACCAAAGGTAGTTCTTCTGTCTGGTGATTCGGCCTATCATTGTTTCGAAATTTTGTCATGCAACGTCCTTGCTGAGGCCAGAGCAGATATACGTAATATATATGGAACAATATACGCGCTCTGTATTTGGCGCATGCTACTGCATCAGACTTTTTTGTATAGCCTTCGGCAAACTTACCGGGTGGCCGAACAAAATGACACCCTCCGCGTTTGTTTTGCCCTGCGCGAACCACTTAACGTAATTTAAACCGGATAGACTCATTCGATAGACAATTTCATAAGCTACTCAAAACACTCAAATATTTTTTTAAAAAATTGAGACTCCTCGTTAACAACGGCGCCAAGTGAAATCGTGTAGAAATTTTTAGTGTCCCAGCTCGCATAGTTAAAAATTGCGCCTAACTTTTTGTCCTTGCACATGATTTCGAGTTTTTTAAATGTTTTATTTAGAGCAGCACTTTCTCTTTCAGCCGGGAAAATATTGTTGGGATGATGCATGCACTGGATGAGCTAGGCACTAAGCAACCTTTTTGACCGTTCGAAAAAATTACGATTTTTTTCGTTTGTTTTTATAAGTATTTTAGTTTTTTTTTAGTTACAATTTTTTTGTTCAGTACTGGGTGCAATGAAGAGCGCCGCTTCAACTGGAAACTGTAGGTGGGTGAGTACTCTTTTAAACACGGGTGTGAACCAGGACTGCATTCGAAGCGATGGTCTGCAAATTGTTTTCAAAAAGTCCGCTACCCCGTTTCATGAAGATGAAATGTAAGGAGTACCAAATCTTTCGCTCGTTGCCCAGCCAGGGTCACTAGAATGTTTTTATTCTTTACAGTAAAAAAACCAGGAACAATCCCCCTTTCCGAAAAAGCAACGTCATAAACAATAACCTACTTGGTTGAATATCTACAATTTAAATTTGAAAATAGGGAAATTTGAATTTTTGTTTCCAGGACATCTCTCAGTTCCACCCATTTTCTCAAAATATTTCTGGAAAAAAGGAAACTCATTTATATTGTTGGTTTAACTTAACTTTCTTGTGACATGAAAAATGCTCTTTCGAATAAAACTAAATCATGTCAATCAAGCACCGGATTGGCCCAGGGCACCATATTAATCCAGGGTGACATTTTGTTCGGCCACCCGGTACTTCCCTTTGGGTTTATGGAGCTCATACAGCTATATTATTTTCATAGAGACATTACGCGTATTTCTCAGGTTGAATAATTTGAACACGGGAGAAAATTCTCGTTTCAAGCTAATAAGCATGCGGTTAACCCGGGTGCAAGCGATTCAAATCCAAAGCGTAGTATTGCACCGTGCACCGCATTAACCGCAGGTCCGCTTTTCACAGCAAATCTTATAGCACATGCGCATGATATGTTTACTTCTTCGTGTTTTGAGCGATAATTGATAAGCATTTCGATAGCATCTAACGAAACGCTTTAAACAGACAACATGATGGTCGTTCACAGTAGTTTGCTACGTGTCTTGCACAATATTCATTTTCTACTCGGTGCCTTTTGTAAAAACTAATAATAGCAACAAAAGTAAAAATGGCGTTTGTTTCGTCTCCCTTTCCAATAGTAACACTGGCATCGTTCACCGGTAACATACATAGTCAAGTGTGCAACGATACACTCGAGGTTGAATGCTGTCAGGCGTTTCTGGAGAAACATACCGCGGTGGTATCCTTGGGCCCTTGGCGTGGCCACTAACGGACGCAGAGGTCTATGCCAGTCAGCAACTGGCCCGCGACTACTGCCGGTAATTCCTGCTCACTTCGTAATCTCTTGGTGGTTTTGTAGTTCTTTCTTATTTATCGCAGTGCACAATTTACAGACGTACGTTTTTTTTCCGCCACATGTAGCTTCACGCGCTGAAGTAATTCCGTTGAAGTTGCGTACAGAGTATCAAGCAGTTGAGTAGATACAGACATCATATAGTAAAGTGATCTACATACACTTGTGACACATTTTGTACACGTTAAATTTTCCAGGGTCTGCTTTCTGATTTTTAGCCAAAGTATTCTATTGTATCCTCTACGTACTTTCCATGTATCCTCATAATTTTTCTACCCTATGATAATTTTTCCGTCGTAAGTCACCGTATTCCTGCAGTGTTCGTTATATATCGTACATGTATTCTGTAGCTAAGATAGTTAACAGGTGTATGAAGGATACGGGCGTTTTGGCATTGGCCATACGGGGCTGATACTTTAGGACACTGAACCGTGCCCACAACGTAATGCTGAAGACGCAGGATACATGGAAGATATGTTAAAGAAATTCTATGATGATACGGCGGCTGTTGAAGGTCATGATACATCACTTTTTCTGCACGTCTTACGACACTTTTTATCTGGCGTATCCCACAGTATTTTTATACTCTATAGATGTAGTGTCTATCCCTTGTTTATATACATATTGTCATCCATGTCTCCTGCCGTCTTCAGCATTTGATGATTATTGCAACGTCAGTATGATTCTTTACGTATCGCTGCTGTATCCGCTGAATATTCCTCATGTGTTCTGCAAAATTTCTTAGGCTAGGTATATTCAAGTGAGGTACGCAAAGAATATGGTTGAAAACAGTAATGAGTGAAGCGGATAATAAAAGCATAAGAAGGATACATGCAGAATACGACTGAAAATGCGATACCGAGGATGCGTTTCCCAAGAAATGCCAAAAAAGCATGTACGAACTCGTTCATAAGTTCATGTACAGTGAAACTTCTCTATAACATACACCCTCCGTTCCAGACTTTCTGAATGTTACAGAGGGGTGTATGTTAAACAGAAGCGCTGCCCCCAGGGGCACTGCCCTCAGGGGCTCCGGGGCATAGCCCCCGGGGGTGTTACTTAACCAAAAAATTAAGTATCAAAATACCAGAGTGCGGACATTATTCGGTCTGAATGTTGGTTTTGCTGCCCAGTTGTATGCTTAGAGTTGGAAGATCCGGTACTGAACAGATTAAAAATAGAAGCCGGAACTTTCTTTTAGAGACACCGAAATGGTTTTTTACACCAGCCTAGCCAACTATATGTTACGCTGGGGTTGAATAAGCTGGTAAAACTGTTACCGGTTCCATGAAAGGTGTATGTTATAGCTGTAAAGGGGTGAATCTTATACAGGGAACTGCCCTGTGTTATAGTCTACGGGACGATTTGGTTCCCAGCCTCGTGCATGCTGTAAAGGGGTGAATGTTATAGGAAGGTGAATGTTAAGGGGAGTTTCACTGTAGCGCAGAGCCGTTTTCTGAATGCAGGCGGAATTAGCTGGCTTTGTGTGGCTAAAGTGTGTGTTATCAAACTTTGAAATTCTTCGCAAATTTTTGTGAGATGTTCGATCGGTGCAACCGAAGAATATCAGAATTATACTCTGTACATCGCAGTGTACAGTTTCTCTTGTAAGTTTTTGTAATTAAAATATGCTTTCTGCGGACAGTTTCGGCTCTGTTCAGTACATTTGTACACTACTTGAATAAGTCTGTAATGCAGCTCTGCTAACGACTGCGCCCACTGCCTGCTGAACCTAACGGTCCGTTGTGCCCATGATCCGACATTTCTGCAGCACCTCCAGCAAAACAGCGTTCCGTACAATGCGGAAATAACCGGCGTCATGGCAACCATGTGCCAGCTGTCCGTTGATCCCCTCCGCTTCGTGCGCGCTATCGAACACTGCGAGGAACAACGTCCCGAGTTTGTGCTCGAGGTGCTTCACGAGGACCGAAGTGTGTTAGCCGCTAACTCACACGACGCCATCAGCGCCAGGCGCAACGTCTGCAAGTAGGTTCACTTGATCCTACCGACGCTCTAGCGCTCCAGTAAACCAAATGCACCATCGCACGTTGTCTTTGCAGAAAACTGCACGGGATTGCCACCGGACTGGATGAGGAGGAAGCTAAAGCGGAGTTGACGAAGAAATGCGGATTGGAAGCGGTGAAGGCGATGCATGATACTTATCAGCGACCGAACGATATCCACTGCACGATGACTAATGCAGCTTTTCCTGCGATGAGATGGCAGCTGCCATATTTTGCTTTGCTGACTGCGCTCATATTGTTCAAGCCTATTGCACGGGAGCATAATACTGTAGTGGCTCGCACATCTTGTACCACAGAGTTGGTGTACGGGAAAAATGTGCATCCAATATACACACTCTAACCGGGCAAAACGCACGATTCCCAGTTGGCGTGCATTGATAAATTTCTGATGTTTCTCAACTTCTGGTCTGGAGAACCTTCTTGAATATTAAAAAAATTAGAGCTCTAATAATTATTAATTAAATTTATGCTCAAAAGCAGCCATTAACTTAAATCTTTGCTGTCAGCTCGAATTCAAACACTGATTTGTTGTGGTTTTTGGGGTGCCCCTGCAGAGTGAGGGGTACGTTCAGCAATCAGCGTCAACATTCTACAGCTACAGAACAATTCGAGTTCTCAGATACAGAGCTTCTTTTCTAAGGTGAATTACAATTTTAAAGAAAATGTTTGATTCTGGACAGATTCAGAAGGAGAGTTCATCTTGAAGTCAAATCAAGCATTATTTCGTAGGCGTGCATTTTGCCCGGTTAGAGTGTGTATATTGGATGCACATTTTTCCCGTACACCAACTCTGTGGTACAAGATGTGCGAGCCACTACAGTAGTATTTTTTAAGCGGGCTTACTTTGTTTATATTGCGAATAATATTATAAAACGATTTTTCACAAGAACCTGTTCACTCAGTATGCGTCATGATTTTCAAAAACTGCATTAAACCGAATGCCTCTATTGTTGCTGTTTTCTATGGCCGTTTAGGCGTTTACTTTATTAAGCAGCGGGAAGCCTACAGTTCGCCGCGAAAAACCAATTAGGTCATGAAAATCCCGACGGTGTCAAAAACATTATATATACCTAATTTTACCAGTTAGTGGACAGCTCCGCTTAAGAAGCTCTTCCGGAAAAATCATTAAAATTAACAAAGATCCTGCTGAAAGGTCGTATCCTCTTCTTTGCTTTTCGGACCCCGAAAAAAAGAATCCGTCCCAAAACCTTTGGAGAAAACAGATGTTAAGTCACTAGTTGGTGAATTACGATATCGGATATGTATCCACAATATCGAACAGCAAATAATCTACGTATGCGGGGAAAATATATGCTTCCCCCGCCAGGCAAAGTATTTGTCAACCTGAGCGACGATTCCCAAAATACGCTTTTCAACCGCTTGGTACAGTCATAAATATAATACAGGTCCACCGAAACCGTTAGGTTAGGCGTTTTATGTACCGTTAATGCCGTCGGACATATTAATCTTCAGATTCCTAATTTTTCTTTGATTACCCTTAGAAGAATGAAGTAAGTACGATGAACATACAAATTCAGTTAATGCACAGGATTCTCTCTGACATTTTTAATAGAAAGCATTTCTGTGGCTGTGAAAAACCTGGTGTTCCGTGCGTCAAAACTGAGACTGATATATGGATAAGCCGCTCATCTCTTCTCTGCTTAAGCGCTTTCGCTACTTTCTTCGATCTGTGATGTTCCTTTGTTCTGCCTACGTCCATTGTGGGTAACGGTGTCGGTGCGCGATTCTTAGCCGGGATCAGCCTGCGACATTCACCCAGCTCGACACAGGCGCAGGCGTTTGCAGCGCATCAGCGGCATCTGCAACGTTCAACCAGGCATCTGGTCCCTGGCCCCAGTTTCCCGGATAATCCGGAATACGGAGACGGTGAACGCATACGTATCCTAGATATAAAAATAATGAAACTGATGTGATAAACATAGTGAAACTAAAATAATAAAACTGATGTGATATCTGGGTTTCGCAGTAAATTAAAATACAGAAACACCCGCGTGTAACAGCGAGTGTTTAAATACAGCGGTACAGCATATAGCCGTAATTTAAATACAACGGTTAACCCGAGCGACTCAAATCCAAAGTGCGTGTTTCATACTTCACCGCAGGTCCACCTTTCATATGAACGCTCAAATGGGCATGCTATATTTACAACTTGACTTCTCCTTGTTTATCAGCGATGACTGATAAGCATTTTGACTGGATCGCAAGAAACGCTGCGCACACAACTTAATAATCTTCACAGTAGTTATGTTAGCGGCTTGCGGAACAGTAGTATTCATTTTCCTACCTTCACAAAAACTGAAAATAGTAACCACAGTTATAAATGACGTTTGCTTAGTCTCTTCTTCCCATGATAACATTGGCGTTGTTCACCGGTGGCAAAGGGAGTGAAATATGCAGTGATACGCATGAGAGTAAATGCTATGAGCAGTTTCTGGAAAAACATGTCGCGGTGGTATCCCTGGCGTGGCCACTGACGGACGCGGTGGTTCATGACAATCAGCAATTGGCGCTCGATTACTGCCGGTAATTCCTGCCCACTTCATGCTCATTCCTTGTTGTTTTTGCAATATTTTCTTGCTTAACCGTAATGAACGATTTACGATATTTCATACCGTTACGTATAATTTTGCCTAGTGTAAAATTAAAGCAGGTGAGTAGTGGAGTTATTTTCACCTAAGGCACGGGTTGTAGACGTTCATCTTTCAGGGTACGGTTTCTGAGTTGTATCCACAGTATGATTAGTATCCCACTAGTGTACCCTTCATGTTTCCTCAAAACTGTTTTGTCCTCGTGTAATCTCGCTGCCGTATTTCGCCATATTCCTGCATAATTCTTTATGTATCCTGCATGTATTTATTAAGAAGCCTATTCGTTCTGCAAGAAAATTAAGAGGATACATGAGGGATACGGGACGGATGCGGTAAGGATACTGCAGTGTACTGGGCTGTATCCACCGCAGCTGAAATCCGCACGATACATAGATTACATACAAAGGATATTGCGAGAATACGATGGGATACGGGCCACGGCGGTTGGTGAAGGTCGTGATACACATGCAGACAGGGGCGCGCGCGCCCTGCATGCAAACATGACTTGCTTTTGTCTTACGGTACTTTTTATCAGACAAAAACCCACAGTACACTAGTATTCTTACCGTGTTTTTTATGTACTCTCCATGTCTCGGCTTTGATGAGTAATCTAGCATCAATAAATTTACGTATCCTTACTGTATTCTCTGTGTAATTCCCGTGTATCCTGTTGGATTTCTCAGGTCCCTTAGCCTCTTAGGTTTGCTTATCCGATGCAAGTGGGATGCACAGAGGATACTGCGAAAATACGTTGGAATGAGGTTGTGAAAGAAGGCGATGATAAAATATAATAACCATACATGCAGAATACGTATGGGATACGATGGGACACTGTGGATATAATACAGTTCCTAATGATGCTCCCAGAACACCTAACGTGTACGCACTCGTTGATATCTGAGTAGTAAAATGCAACGCATGCAGCGGAAAGCGGTGTTAGTTGGCTTCGTTATATTCATTATTCATACGGTATATATTTAAAATTTTGTCAAATGATCGATCGGTCGAACAGAAAGATATGGGTGCCCTGCATTGTAGCGTTCAAGTTCCTATTTATTATTTTTCACGTTAAAGATAATTCGCAGATAATTTCGGTTCTATTCAATGCAGTTATACACTATAAAACAAGTCTGGCAGTGCAGTTCTGCCAACGATTGCGCCGACTGTCTCCGGAGCCTGACGGACCGTTGTGCACATGATCCGGCGTTTTTACAGCTTCTCAAACATAACAACGCTCCGTACAATATGGAAACGGCCAACGTCATGGCGAAAACGTGTCAGCTGTCCAACAATACCCTCCGCTTCGTGGGCGCCATCGAATACTGCGAGGAACAACGTCTCGAGTTCGGCCTCGAGGGGACATATGTCAGTTGGCCGCTGCTTCATACGACGCCATTAGCGCCCGGCGCAACGTTTGCAAGTAGGTGGAAGAATTCCTTTCGGCGTTTCCGCACCAGTAAACCAAGTATACCACCGCGTATACCAAGTATACCACCGCGTATACCAGTAAACCAAGTATACAAAGATAACCGCGTGTTATCTTTGTAGAAAACTGCGGGGGATTGCCGACGGATTAGATGAGGTAGAAGCCAAAGCGGAGTTGACGAAGAAATGCAGAAGGGACGCGGTGAAGATGCTGCATGATACCTATCAATTATTGCACGAAGCGCACTGCACTGCGCCCAGTAATTCAGCTTTTAGCGGGATAAAGTGGCAGTTCCCCTATTATGTTTTGCTGGCTGTGATTATCGGCCGTGCTTGTTATACTATTCGAGCTTGAACATACAAACGAGGCTCTCACACTTCTGTGTGCTGGTTTCTAATACATACTTCCGTGTGATGATTTCTAATCTATCTGTATCGACTTGTTACAATTCTTTTGGCGTTTTTTGTGTCAACCAAACCATATAAATTATATGAACGATTCCTTTCCACTTCGAAACCGTAACCAATTCTTTAGCCTGTGATATCCTTGCGCATTCTGCTGGCACTGTGAGGTTGCATTTTACCTTTATTTCGTGTTTTATGCCCGGTACATTTTATTCAAAGAACTGCTTGTATTCTGCGTATTCACCTTTTTACCTGCTTGTATATTTGCTGTTCTCGTAGTTGTACGTGTCGTTTTTAACCACGGGATAGGGTAGCAGATGGGGTAAAGTACCCACCCTGCTGCATCAGTTTATACATAAAACCCTAACAGCAAGGTCAACACGGAACCTTTACTGACTTTACCTAGATCCCAATGAAATAAACTTACTTTGTAATGTTGCCACTCGTGTATTTCGGTCACAGCCTGTTCTGTTGCGGATAAGTTCCCCGTTATGTATTGCTGGGGATATCCTTGACCAGTATAACGATTTGCTGTAATACGAATCAGTTATAGCCTTGGAGGTAATATTTTCTGTAAACAAGTTAAAAACCCGGTTACCTTTGTATACTCGTTTATCTTTATCTTTGTATATATAAAACCCGTTTATCTTTGTATACGCCCGGATGGCGTAATTATCTCCACCAGAATATACTGGTAAGGACGATCATCTTTAGATCGATCGATACATGCATGCCACGCGGAATAGTGACACCCAGTGTTCCTCTGCGACAAAACTCATAATAACGTAGAGTTAGCCGCACAATCTTTTGTCTGCTTGAGCGTTTCTCTCTCATCTTCGGCTCGTAATAATCGTTTTTGCCGGCCCACGTCCATTGTGGATAACGGCGTCGATGTGCGCTTCTCAGCTAGGATCAGCTAGCGGCATTCAATCACCACAACATAGGGGCCGGCGTTTACAGCGTGTCTTCAACGTTCAGCAGTACAATTAGCTATTTGATCGCTGGCCTCAATTTGCCGGATAATCCGGCTTGCGGAGACCGATGGCACCTGCGCGGATGCCGGGTTGTTATGTCAGCTGCCGCCGAGGGAATTGATGCGCTCCAAGAAACCGCAGCAATTATTGTCACCTTCTCCTTCTCTTGCTGGTTATATAAAGCGTGCGGTTGCATGTACAAGACGTTCATTATCGGCTCACCATATCCCGCTGTATAATTACCGGTGTATTTCATTTCCGCCAGCCAGCATCAACATCCTCCATTCGGATTCTCTGTGCCCTTTTTGCACCCTTTCGCAAAATGAGTGCTATGGAATTTTGCGGTTGCTGTCTGGTTCAGTGCCGTACTGGCGTTATATGCTCCGGCTCCTGCAGTGAGCATCCAGTTTTGCTCTGGATCAGAACATGTTTCGATCGCCGTGGAAAACCGACTGAGATGTTAGTGATTTTTGCTGTTGTCGGCAGATGCATCTCTTCAAGCTGCGGTCCGCACGATGGTAGACAAGTTGATGTAGTAACTTATTCTACCATTGTACGGACTGCAGCCTCCATCTTCTGGCTGCAATGTGTGCAGGTCTACTCTTCCTGGATCAACGGTATCTTCATACATATCAATTTGGATTACTGCAGCACTGGTGTCCAGCGGCAATGCACCATTTGCTCCCCGACTTTTGGTATTATTGTGTTGCATATAGGTACAATCATGCACCCAGTAGAAGTGTACGGCCACCGTGGGTTATCTTGCTCGTTTTTGGGCGGGAGACATGCACGTCACGGTGGTTTGAACAGCATCGTGTGCCGATCATTGGTTTCGGCGGGGATTCCAGCTAAACTCGAACCACGCGGCACGTCCCATACGTCCGATCGTCGCCCGGACGCCCGAAACCATTAGTTATAGCGGGAATGTCACAATGTTAGTACAGTAGGAGTTGTTCGTTGTGGGATTTTTGCCATATTAGCAAAGGCTATATCAGAAATCAAACGATTAACAGTTCGCTTGCTGTTGAACTTTGGGATTGTGGCAGTCAGTAGCGCGCCTATTTTGACAGATGCGACACCTATGCCGAATTATCGTAGATCGAAAACGTGCTTAGCGTATTGCGACCGATTTCCCTGTGATTTTGGGATCCAACTGAGTTCTTTGTGCAGCAATTTTTGCGACAAAATCGTTGCTGACTTCGTGCAAAACGCAGTGTTATAGCATAAATCATACGCGAGCAACACGTAACATCTGCTATGAATGCCTGAATTTAAGTCTTTGAACATGTATGCCTGGCCTCCAGAAATGTCGCCCCACCCCCCAGTTATTCCGTATTCTCCTCTTGCAAAAACTATGTGCTCATGTAAATTCGAAACATTTCTGTCTCTGCTAGAATTCCAGTTACCTTGATCCAGTGGCGTAGCGGGCCGTAGTATGGTAAATGACTGCAGCTAGTGTTCATCCGATTTCGCTGTTACCGTGTTAACAAGTTCTCGAATCGGGCTTGTACCTGTGGCCTGGTTGTACTGTTTGGGTAACTGATAGGAGTGGATGCAAATGGCAAATGTTTTGAATTAGTGGAGGTTTTTTAAAAGGCGGACGCTAAAGCCACTACATCGCACTACAAAACACTATCGTCACTACCGTGCACTGCAGAAACTACTAATGGCACTACAAAGCTATCATTTCACTTTTTTTGTAAAAACACCTTCAAGGCTAATGCGACTAAAATAGTCATCTGACAATTGTGCACATCCACTGCAGTTTGCTAATTACTGTACACTACATTACCTTAAACTAACAATACTTAATACATCATGCATGATAGATGCTCGTATTGATAACAATAAGCATAACGGTTACATACATTAAACAAACATACGTACTGTATTAACTGGCAATACGGGCTGCCGATGCTTCCCTTGAATGATGTGGCGCATCGGGTTTTACTGGAAACCAGCTAAACGAAGTAGTGATGTGTATGTATAATTCGTTGCAGGTAACGCACAGATTTATTGGCAATCGCCAATGGCAATTGCCACTGCGGCTTTTTACACCCTGTCAAGTTGATAGAAAAAGCATAATTGTCACAAAAATGCTAATGAAACGAAATATTAGAAGTTTAGGGCGGTCGCAGCCGCACATTTCGCGGTTTACATTTCGCGGTGGCGACAGAGCTCGTGATAAAACGGACATGCTAAAAAACGAGAATTCTCTGGCAACCAGGGAAACCATAAACCCAACTCGTAGGGTGAGGAGCAGCGGGAAAGGAAGCAGACGTTGCCAAATCAGTTCTCTTCCCAACATTATCACCGTTCTCATTCATCGCAAAGTTGCTGTGAGCACAACGACGATTACCAACGCGATGAGGAGGGTGACAGCAACGATGGTCAGACCGTAACAAACACATTTCTAAAGAAACCACAGGGATTCAAGTAACAATAATTTGCATTACCGCTACAGAGAAAAGGACTGACACCAATAAGATGTTTTTACTGGGATTCTATGCATGTTTATGGCAATAAGGATGCAGATTACAGAAATTTAAAAGTGCTCACAAATACCAATCTATGCCATATTATAGATGTTTGATAATAATTGCTTACGCATGTCTCGGACTTAGGTGCTGCAGCGCCGTTCTGCAGTGTGGTGCTTGACTGTTCTTCTGTAGCATCAAGCAAAGGGGTTCTTGGACGTATAGCTTTGTACGGCCCATGTCCCGGTTGATTGGCTTGAACAGCAGGCCAGGGAGTTCCCTGTGAATAAAGCATATGTTTTCCGGAGGATCTCAAATGAATTCCCTGTACAAGTCGCGCTGGCGATGCGCTCACCTGCACGAAAGGGTGCTGGAGCAAATTATCCGCCGACGGGCGATTACTAACGTGCGGCTGGAAGCACAAATCCAGAAAATGCTCCACAGAATCCAGAAAATCTCGCGTATCCCCACAGCCATCACGGCCAAGATTGTGGTCATAGAACGGTTTCAAGCCGGTGGCCAGTGCCATTTCTATTTCCTCGGCTTTAATCAAGCGCACCACCTCTCCGTTGGTTTCCTTCCGGAAGAAGCGAGGTTCATGTCCGTGCAGCATTTCTAGCAGTACACAGCCCAGCGCCCATACATCACCCGCGCGGCCTGGTCTACCAAAGGCCGGCTGGAAAGCCTCCGGAGCCATGTACACGGTGGTGCCGTCGCCCCGCCGCACTTCGTGTGAACCGGTAGCGGACTGTGCCAGCTGCACCATTAAATCAAAGTCGGCGATCTTCGGTGTGCCGTCGGCTGCGAACAAGATGTTCCTGCCTTTTAAATCGCGATGGACGATGCTTCTCTGATGCAGGTAGTGAATGCCACTGAGAACTCCCGCTAAATCGCGATGGATGTCGAACTGGCTGTAGCGCTGATGTCGTAGATTAAAGTTCTGATTCTTTTGATGTAGTGTTCCACCTAAATATTCTGGGAGTTATAGTACTAGAAAAATGCACCAGACTGGGCATTGGCAGGCCGGAGCGCAGATCTCATGGTTCGGACTGGAGGCTTCAAAATGCCGGTTTCAGTTCCAAACTCACACAGACCAACCCCGTATGGAAACACCGCTACTGGTGCGTTATTTTTTCTTCGTGACAACACTTAGACCAACCATAAACTCGAGTTTGCAGGATTAATATGGTGCAGCAACAGGTATATCATAAAGAATATTATTCGTTCTATCGCTTATCAATACCGTTTTGTAGCTTTATCGCTCTCCGTTTTATTGTTTTATCGCTTTTCCCTATGGCTTTTACCGGAGCATTACTCTTTCACGATCACGATTGTCAAAAGAGGGTGTAGAGGAGTGACAATAGCCATTTTCTTGTAATATTAGCAGTTTCGGCATGGTCGGAGAAACTGATAAAAAATGCTGGCAAAAGAAAGAAGAAACTTTTCAAGAGTGAAAGGAAGAAGAAGAGGAATCTGCTGCGCTGCGGCCAGTAAATAAATACACCAAGCGAAAATGTCTGTAAGAAAGGTGTATACTACTCGTACATAGTGCATACAATAAGCAGTTGTGCATAAATGTTAACAACAGACAGTTGGAGGAAAATGATTTTATTACTCGTACTGACTGTTAGAAAATGTATTCCAGAGCAAAGTGCAAAGAACACTTTGCAAATGAACCAGTGAACTGAAGGCTGAGTAAAAAAGGTTTAAAAGACAAAGCTGACATTTTTAGCTGGCGTTATTCCTTTAACCGATAAAGTACTTACTAACGATAAGATCTGAGCGTTGCGAAAGTAGAAGCTTTAAATGCACGCATTACTGATGCGAAAAACGATCTACCGATCTTCAAAGCTTATGACTATGCATTACTGATCTTCAAAGCTTACGAGTACTGTAGTCAGCTGTTTCAAACTTTAACCTTGCGCGTGTTCCATTATAATGCGCACTTCTGGAAAATTCCCAAAGTATACAATATCCATGTAGAAATATCTGAGCAAATTTTTGTGCGGAGTTTCGTTTAGCTGCAAAATGGATCTGAATTCTTTTATATTTTGTTGCAGGTCCGCGTCGTAACTTGTGGCGCCCAAACCGATGCATTTTGCCGCGTATTTTTGTCCGGATATGTCATTCCTGACTAGAAACACCCCCCGACACAGTCCTCCATCGCCCAGTTTCCCATCTATCGTGTAGCGAAATGGCGGCCGGCAATTTTCAATGTCGAAGCGCGTAATCAGTTCTGTGCAGACTTCTCCTTCATTCCCATGGCTCAGCAACATGATGTATTTGTACTCCACTGACATACAGAATTCCTACTGAATTCACTGAACTATGTTAACTGAAAACGTGGAAAAGGCTTTATTGTAAAACAGTGGCGTGTGCCGGATGGTGTGGTGATTTCATAAACAACACTCACCGTTATAGACCGTTATAGACCGTTATAGGCGTTGATCCAGTTATACAGTAGACGGTTCGGCGGTTTGTTGTGTGCCGTACCAAGTTACTCATATAAGCAGAGATCCCTGTGATACGCCACCGGCAGCATTAATGACTATCATCCATGGAATTTCAGGTCCATTAGCATTTAGCAGAAGTACAAAGTACATATATAGGGCTCGTTGCTTGGCTCTCCGAGAGAATGTCCAAGTTAGGACATTAGTGGATTACTGGTTCCATGCATTTGGAACATCCATAGAACCTCCACAGAACCACTCCAGAACCACAATGGAACCAGGCACATAACCACCAGCCGGCATGCTCCCACACTGCCTCTTCTTTTCCGACGCCCAAAGAACCACATAGAACCGCCATAGAACCTCCATGGAACCACCATAGAACCACAATGGAACCAGGTACATAACCAACAGTCGGCATGCTTCCACATTGCCTCTTCTTTTCCGACGCTTATAGAACCACATAGAACCGCCATAGAACCTCCATAGAACCTCAATAGAACCATAATGGAACCATGTACATGGTCACAAGCAGGCAAGCTTCCACAATACCCAGTCTTTTCCGAAGCCCATAGAACCACATGGAACCACCATAGAACCTCCATAGAACCACCATAGAACCACAATGGAACCAGGTACATGACCAACATTCGGCATGCTCCCACAATGCATTGCTGCAAGGTAGCTACGTGCATGGCTACAAGGTAGTCCCGACTTATCTTTCGTAAAGGTACAAACTGTTCGTATTTCAAATTGTCTGTTGTCTATACGAGCTCGTAAAATGATCGATACCTGGCACGCAAGCACCATGCCCGCGTGCGTTTAGTCGGGATCCTGCACGAACCACTCAAACCGAATTCTCGTGTAGGAGATAACGAGCAGGGTGTGCGCGATGGTTAGGGTCGTCTCCGCCACTAGCAGATCGCGGTTATCTTTTGCCGGCACAAGATCACCAAGGTTATTGCGGACAGGATCCGCGGTATTCTTGGTGTACGTATCTGTGTATAATAACTGCTGTATCTGTATACAATAAACGCGTGCTGTTTCTTTCCAGTAAAGGCCTATTTATACTTCACTTCAGTCACGTTTTTTTCTACGTCCGTCAAAAATGTGTTTTATGGACGTCCACCAGAATGTACGAGAAAAATCATGGCCGTGACAAAAAACGGCGCTAAGATCCAGCTTAGCTCACGGTCGTGTACAAAGCGGCTTTCATTTTATACTAGGACAGCATGTCCGTCAAAAACCAAATTTCGAGCCCAAAACAACCCGAATTAATTGTTTTGAAATCTGTCCTGAATGTATGCCAAGTGGAACCTAGTACATACATTTGGTGCCAGTACAGTAATTACCTATTAGCTCTTTTTGAATTTTATTTAGATTTGAGAACACAGAAACTGCGCTTCTTTTACCACGTGTGAACCCGCGGTTGGTTAAAGAATGAAAATTTGATATCGCGCATGACACGTGGCATGCGCAAGCTAATAAGGTTCTAATGCAGAAACTATGAAAAGGTTAAAGGGAACATAACGTAGTAGAAAATAATGTGAAAAGTTTGGGAAAAGTTCATAAGGAACACTGAAATTTGAATTCTTTTGGGAAGGTCTCTACTGAATATAGGCAGACTTGTGCAAAAAGTACCGAACTTGATGTCCGTCAACTTTGAAAAATAGAACCAGTTCTATTTCAAAATTTTGACGGATGAAGCCAAATTTTGACGGCCATCAACTTGACGGACCTAACTTTCGGACGGTGTCCGAGTATGTGGTTATACTCCACAAGTCAGTCACGTGCAATGTGACGGAGATGGGGAAGTGTTCATAGTGGCGAAATTTCTTCAGTTCCGTGAGATGTGACGGTCTTAAAGCCGAGTATAAATAGGCCTTAATTCGCAGTACAATAAAGCAAGACCCGGTAAAAACATGTACCGCTCTTAGCATCATCTGTATTCGATCACTTTTTTTCAGGGTGCAACTAAATCGGTATAGATCTTGTAGCACCTGAAACTGTCGACAATCCGTTTGTTCCGCTAGAAATACTTATGTGGATATGACAAGCAATAAGAAGGTAGCAGTTTTGCGTAATGGCTTTTTCCCCAAATAGCAGAATGAGCGGGATTTGTGTTTAATTAAACACCAGCTACTGCAGCCGGAATCGCCCGCGGTAACAGAAAAGCAAACAGCACCACACTCATAAAGCGTTCTCATGTCAAACATTGTAAACGTAGTGGATTCTTCTGTTCGGCTCGATTTATTGACCGGTGCGAAGCGAAGGTCTTCCTAATTCAGCTTCAATGCTTAGCTTCGCTTGTGTCCGTTACGGAAGTCCAGCTATGACGTCATCCTAGATAATTCAGATGACGTCACGGCTCTATACAGTAGTTTTGCAGTGATTCCCTTGTGTCCGTTACGGAAGTCCAGCTATGACGTTACGGCTCTATACAGTAGTTTTGCAGTGAGCCACTTGTGTCCGTTACGGAAGTCCAGCTATGACGTCATCCTGGATAATTCAGATGGCGTCACGGCTCTATGCAGTAGTTTTGCAGTGACTTATTTGTGTCCGTTATTTTGCAGTGACTTATTTGTGTCCCAAATATGACTTTATCGCGGACTAGCCGGAAAACGCCATGAGACTATAGAACAGTTTTGCACTGCTTAGCTTGTATCTGTTAGGGAAGCACCGTTGATGCATTAAGTTGGGCGGTGTCTGATAGTGCACCCGCTCAAAGTTCACGATTAAGTTCGACGCTCATGGAAGACCTGCTACGGCCCATTGTTCGTTAAAGATGTGGTCGAACAGTGTTCACAGAATCTCGGGTTAGTAAGTCTGTCGTCTTAGCGGTCTGTCTGTCGTCTTAGCGTATACTACCTGTCTGTCGTCTTAGCAGCATGCGAAGACATGCGAAGTCGGTCGTCTTAGCGACGTACAAGCCGTAAATGCGCTTTCCGAAACTTTTAAAAATCGTTAACTACGGCAGTACTCGACGCTGCTGTTAATGTAGTCGGCGTACTTGCTGGATATGCGCAACAACCGAAGTACTGCCAGCTGTAAAAAAACGACAAAAAAGATGTTAGAATTTTCTCAGTGAATATTATGTAAAGGCACCGTAAATTTGCAGAATGAAGACCGCTTCTCGCGCATTATTCCTGGAACTGGCGGGAGAATTTCCGCATTTGGAATTGGATATAGTAAAAAAGATCACAAAGTTCAAGAAATATAATAGCCAGTTCCTGCCAGCCCTTTTATTTTGGAACGATGAACAGCGCCAAATTTGCGAAAATGGTGGATGCAGCATACGGCAACGTTTACCCGCTTATCACTGCAGCCGGCATTACTGAATCCAGCGGGCGCATAGCGCAATCCTATGCTATGCTTTGGGCCTCTACTTTAATGGTCAGTGTGCGATAATAAACATTGAAATTAACACAGAGTCGTAATGTCCAGTCTGTTGTTAATTTGGTGCATATTTGTACCAAAATCGAGCTTTACAAAGCAATACACCTGATTGCACTGCAATCGTTTAAAATGGAGTTCCGTTCCATAGTTTCTGGACATAACCGGGGACACTGTCGTTGATCGTCTTCAATTATGGGAGTTTCTTAAGCAAAGTATCGCCAAAGCAGCGAGATTTCAAAGGGTGCATCAAGATGAGCCGAGCCATCCAAATCCAGACGCTCTAACTGCAAAAACAACACTGGTGAATGCTATTCGCTCGTTCCGATCAAAAGCATCAAAATCTGAAGTAAGTATAACGGAACTGTTCGACTTCAGGAAGTACTGTAATATTATTTTACTAGGGACGGACGTATCTTCCCGTAGTGGATTAGTATGCATTCTGAATGGTCATCCGTTCACGCTAGTACTATAATATTTTTTTGTACTAAGAACGAAACCATTGCCTTAAATCGATTACCTTAAACCGTTGCAAAGAATGCAACGTGTGACTTAGATTTTTCAAAGTTCCGAGCAGTGTAATGTCGAGCAACTACAGTACGGCTGCGTGTAGACAGTATATTGCCGCACGCAAATAATATCGTTGTTATTCGTGGGCTATGCGTGGCAGTAATACCGTTACAAAGCTAAGAATAACACAAAAAATCTACTGAAAGACCTAAGTATCACACACGCTGCTCAGCATACGCAGAAGTTTCTTTATTTAGATTGGGAATACGTTAAACGAACGACTGGAGAATGGAAGGTCTGAGAGCATTGCAGTTCAGTGGCGTCCGTTTACCTCGTTACTGTTGGAGAAGGGAGAAAAAGAGCTTGTGCAACTCCTTTCGCCTGCAAAACGACAACTGGCGAACCCCCGAAGACGAAACGTTCGCTTCCCGAATAAAAAAAGAGCTTGGTGTTGGACATTTCCGAGAGCAGTATTTATGGATTCTGAACTGGCTACCATTGAAGGGAGGGACGCGGCTGCTGAAGGTTGAATTAGTGAATTAGACATTTCATGTTTAGTCATTTACAGCATTTCAGATAAATTTATATGGCGCAACCAAACGTTTAAAGATTAATAATAATTTAATATGGCATTTTTACTAAAGTGCGTTCTCATAAATTATTAAATTTCAGGCGGGAATAGAATTGACGATGCTGAACAGTCAGTTCTTACTCTTGCATTGCCAGGTGCCAGCGTTATGTTCCAGCCCGCTGCGGCAAGTACACCATCTTCAAAACAGTCCAAGAAAAAAGGTTTGACACTAAGTGCCTGCTCTCATGCAATATATTTTACGACCTTTTACAATGTGTACTGAAGCAGCCGACACAAGTTGCACCAAAGAGTGAGGTGTACGGATATTGGTACCCACATTGCTTGCTGCTCAGTGTAGCGTGTGCAATACAAGCTACGGCTGGACCAGATAGTCGTGCAACTTGTGCGGGCGGCTACAGTATCATGAATGCATCGGCGGCTGTTACATTAAAGCACCTTTGCTGCTGACATGCAGAACAGGTCAAGATGCGGTATTGGTTGTCATTGGAAACTATTAGCTTTTATTCTTTTGTAGCAAAGCGTGAATTACGTGGGAAAAGGCACGCGGACCTGCAGGAACCTCACGATGCACAAAGGGGACCAGTGAAGAAGGCTTCAGCGTTTCTTTGTTGTCGAGAGGTATCGTCGCAAGCGTTACTGCCGTCTGATGGCAGGCACATTTTTGCAAAAAAAGACAATAAGCGTTAGCTAATGATGTGTAGTAATAGGACAGACTTCAGAGTTTAAACGTTAAAATCTAGCAGAAAGACTGACCCGCCATTTCGTCGGCCATCGCTTCGTCGAACAGATACGACGTCGACCCATCACAGCGTCTAACCCATGCTCAGCTAAATTGTCTGTTTTCTAGTTTTCTTATTAGATGTTTCAGATGTTTTTAGGGAACTTAGTTCTCTTAGATATTTTAGATTTTAAGGTTCTTTTGGTTTCTTGGCTTTTTTTCTTGTCGCCTTCGTTATGGTCGACGAAGTGCGGCCGACATTGTGTCGGTCGACGACGCATTAGTCGACGAATTTCGGTGAGCCGCAAAATAGAGCCTTTTGCTTTTGTCTGCGTAACCGATTGACAGCTACACGAAAAGGGTTTGCTTGTCTGTAGCTGATGTAAACGGAACCATCAAAACGATGACACGCCGCATCTGCGACGACCCCGATCCGCTATCTCCCATTCCGGAGAAGACTTCACTGCGGTGCGCCCCGTGCAATAAGTCTTTGGACGAAAGCCAACAAAACCTTGCGTGGATTAAATGTACGCGATGCCAGCACTCTTTCCATCTGCAGTGCGCTGGTGTTTCAGCTATCGCTCTTGGGACTCGACGTGGGGCTTTTTCTACTACATGGAAGTGTCGGTACTGCGTTTCACAAGCTCGTGCGCAGAAAAAGCAACGCAGATAAAGCGTTTGCGACCTTTTGCGGCTGTAGGAAACTGATCATGCTGAGAAGTACCGCAAATGGAAATTTTTCTTTAGCTTGATATAATCGGACGCCATCATGTATGTCACATGTTTGTCTTAACGTGTTTCACTGAAGCAGTTCTCTCCATGCTCTTACATTACTTTGAAGCTTGAACTCATTATTTTATTGTTGGCGGTAGATAAACTCGCGTTTTTCAATCCAAAAAAGTTTTTCGATATTTGTTGTTTCTGTTTTGCGCGAACTTTGACTTCGGAAATTTTATTGCGAACACTAAAACACCACGTTGTGTCAATTTTTGCAACTCATGACTGTGAAGCTTTACCAAACTTATCAGGAACCGAACGAAATAAAACCCTGGAAAAAAATCGATGTAATTTATCACATTAGGGATGCTGGAGCGAATTATATCAGGTTAACGCGCTAACCAGAGCCTCATAATTATATCTCTCCATCGCAAATAGATGGAGTTATCCTTGAGCGTAACAACCAGTGTTGCTGGTTTTCGAAGCGCTTGCAACATCGAAAAATTTGTATTATCTGCAGACTGCTGGTAATTATCTACGTGGCTCAATGGTGGTTCTGTGGTGGTTTTATGTGGTTTTATGTGCTTCAGAAAAGAACGGGTAGAGTGGGAGCATGCCGGCTTGAGACAACCTGCGTGGTTCCATTCTGGTTTTATGGTGGTTCTATGGAGGTTCTATGGTGGTTCCATGGAGGTTCTATGGTGGTTCTATGTGGTTCTATGGGCTTCGGAAAAGACGGGGTATTGTGGATGCGTTCCGGCTTGTGACAATGTACATGGTTCCATTGTGGTTCTATTGAGGTTCTATTGAGGTTCTATTGAGGTTCTACGGGTTCTGTTGTGGTTCTATGTGGTTCTATAGGTTTAAGTGCTTTTGTCCTAGTCTGTTGATTCAATCCCCATAGAACCACTTAATGTCCTAACTTGGACATTCTATGTGCTTGGCGGAAATGAATCATCAATTTCACGGATGATTCAAGCAATAAATATAAGGACAACTGCAATGCGCAAGCAAAACATTGAACAGTCGCCAAAAGGATCTGCTTGTACATAGAAGGATAGACAATGCGCTAACCTTTGTACCTGTACTGGTTCAGAAGTAAAATTTGTGCTATTTATCGCCGTTTGCAGAACACTTTGCAAATGAACCAGTGAACTGAAGGCTGAGTAAAAAAGGTTTAAAAGACAAAGCTGACATTTTTAGCTGGCGTTATTCCTTTAACCGATAAAGTGATCAGGGCGTCTTTAACGTGATCAGGGCGTCTTTTTGTCCAGAAAAATTAACAGCGCGAGTGTTTATGTATACTACATAGTTTAATGCACCAGAGTGTGTTCTCACTCACTGCATCCACTATAACACGGTATTGTACCACTCCTCTACAATCCATTTCATACGTTATTAATTCTTTTATTCGTTAAACGTGCGAATACAGAAACAATCTAACAAATACAGAAGAAACATTACATTATAAATTTAACAACCAGCGGAAACATGCGGCCGAATCACAGAGAACATTTGATCTAAATTAGCCGAGGCTGGTGCATCGGCTAATTATTAATTACATGTTTGAATTTTGCAGCATATGAGCTGCACGCTTGTCACCGGCAGAAAGGTTTACGGGTTAATGATTTAATTACGATAAAAAAACCTTCCTGCAAGAATCTGGCAGAAAGTTTTGCAACACGCTGGCAGTGTTCACCGGTTGCATTAATAATTTCTTAATCCAGGGTTTCGATCTACGGTAGATATTCGGAATTACTCTTTAATTATGCTACGCGACAAGGCCAAAATTAGCCTCAACCGGCAAAATTAATCTGTTATCTATTATTTTTTTCGCTTTGCCCAATAAAAATTAATTTCGCTTTCGTACAGAAAAAAAGCTTTACACCGGATTCCATTAGTTACTTTCGCTTAAAATCATAAAAATTTATACTTTTGCTGAGAGCTTGTGACCTGACTGTGAAATTGTGCGTCTTTCGTAGATACTTATGACGGGATCATGCGCTCTACTTCTATTTATCATGTATTGAGCATACGTATGTTACATACGTATTTTGGACAAATTGACAATCAATAAATTCCGCGACTTTAGTGACAGTTTTAACCGGAAAGATGTAACCAGTCACCTTTGTACATGCTATACATAATACAATTACATTTTATAATCCTGCAAAATTTTGACGGCAATCAGCCGCAATTTTTGTTGAATGCGGCTGATTGCAACGCAGTCAAGCACAGATCACAAGACTTCACGATATGTTCTGCATAATTTCTCTCCGAATCAGAAAAATTAATTTTAAAAAGTCTGTTTGTGTGCGGTTTGTTCATGTTTTTGACGCTAAGCATCGTGTCAGGACAAACCCGACGTTCTCCTTCTTCTGAACATAACACATTCAGTTTTAATTTATTATATTTTAGTTTTATTTATTTGGTTTCTTGAAGAAACGAAACGTTGGACGGCCTAAGACTAAGGTTTGTCTGGCAACAACCAGCGTTCCTTTAAGTTAAATAATTTTAAAATTACTTCAGTTGATGTGATTTAAATTTCTTCTCATGCCGGCAGACTGAGGGATGAGAAATCTCCTCGACACAATTATCACACTGAATCGGAACTGTCGCCAATATACCGATGCCGCATTTCCGGTTTGCCAGTACCGTGGCAGATAGAACTTTTTATTTGCGAGTCACTGGTCTTCGATCCAAGCCATCTTTATCACATAAATTTCATTTTTGAGTTACTTCTCTGCAAGGAAAACGGTCTTTTTTACTTCGGGGCGGCAAAATACCATCGACCGCGAGTCGCAGCACGAAGCTGCTGTGAACTGGAAAAACCAGCCAAAAGTTAATTTATGTAATGCGGAACCATTGTCTTTTCCTTCGACATTTGCTTAATCAGGCTGGCAGAATGTATGGTTTTGCACGCCATGCTGCAGGCAATATTTCATAGTTTTGCAAATGGTAAACAAGTGCATTATAAAAATGAATTTACGAATTCTTTCGTGTTCATCTGTCAGCACTTGACACTACATAGGCTGAATTTACTGTGAAACACTTCGTTTGCAAGTTCAAGTGGGCGTGAGCTTGTCGCATTGAGCATAGCGTACTGAAAATGCACTGTTTCTTACCGTTTCTCGCTGTCGCCGCACTATCGCTTTGTGTCCGTAGCGTGCTCGGTGCCGACTGCGATCAAATGCGGATCCGCTGCGATCCACTCTTTCCCGACGATCGGGAAGACCTCCCATGGCCGATGAGCGAGGCGGATATCCATGCCACACAACAGGCGGAGCAAGAACATTGCCGGTAAATAAAACTCGATCGATGTTTTTTTTATATACAGTATCTACTAACTTACGAGGGACATTCCCGAACACGAGGGCGGACGGGTTCGGGAATGTCCTTCGTTAGTACGATAGGTCAATATACTATACTTAGAAGTACTAAGTACAGTACATTGAACTACTGCACTGCTGATTCAATTTTTCTTACCACTTATCTGCTGGCTAACCTATCTGCTCGTAATCAAGGGCCGCCAATGAGTCCGTTGTGTGTTTGAAAGACTTTGAAGACCACTGCGAAAACACTAAAGCGATGGAGATCTATCGCGAGGAAGGCTACTTTTTTAAAGCGCAGATGTGGAGTGCAGATGCCATGAGCTGTCAACTGTCCATCAATCCCATCCGCTACCAGAACGCCATCGCCTACTGCGACTCTAAACGGAACAACTTCTTCAACGATCTTTTGGTCGTCCGCAGCGCCTATGCGCGCAGCTCACCGGACCGTGCCGCCGCTAAACGCAACGTCTGCGAGTAAGACGGTTTTTTTTATAACTAAACCTTGCAAAACCAGATTTTATATGGTGGTTTTGTTGTGTGAATTCTACGCTCGGTTGCAGAAGCCTGCAACTGACCGCTACCAAACTGGACGGAACCGCCAAGGAGGAGTTGACAACAAAGTGCGGAAAAGAAGCTGTAAATGTCATTAAAGACGCGGCGGTTAAACTGCACGCGGCTTTCTGCCCCGCTTGACAGTAATTCAGCTGCCTATAAGCGATCGATATTCGGAAATTCTTTGTAGTGCCCTTCGACAAGGCCGGAATCAGATCCAAAATGCAAGATAAAATCTGGTGTTTTATCGACTTTTCCAAATAAAAATTGGTAGCTGCAATCTTTCAAAAAATTCTTTCCGGTTTGTGCCAACAGTTATTAGAAAGGTCATAAATATTTCTTTCATCCAGGTCTGGTGATTCGGACTGTGCGTGTTTCTTACTGTGGATACATACGAATGATACGATGTGGTATTTAATACCACACATTTATTACATATACTGATATACACAGTTACTGCATACAGTATATGCAGCTATGACTGTAGGTCCTATAAGTGCTAATAAAAGTAAAGATTTACAGAGATATTATTTTTAGCACATTATTATTATGTCATCGCATGTAGGTATACAGATACGGCACAGTCGGTATACTTCAATGTAGTGCGTGGCGCAGCCGGCAGAAGAACCAGTCGGCGTTATTTTGCAATAAAACATTCCAATATGTTATATGGAATGTCTGATTTGATTTCATGTTCCGCCGTACTCATAAGTAAATTTTCTTATTAAGCTTCACGGTACTTAATAAGTGGTGCCGAAACCGTCTGATCGGTTGGGGCGGAGTGCGAATTCGTTCGGTTAATCACCAAACGAAAATGTCACCGTTTAACTATTTCTTTCAAGAAACACCTTGGGAACTTTCATTATGTAACAATCTTTGGTAACCTTTGTACTCAAATTTTAGCAAAACTAAGCTCGCTAGTAGTATTTAAAATTAGTTTGCTAGTCATTTGAATTTATCATGACCGTAAATGCAATGGCACATGCTTTTATTGAAAAAGATTTTACTCCGGGATCCGGAACACAAGACAAACAGAAAGGACTTAAAAAATACTGTACCTAAAATTTTTTGTAATGTATCCGGAAACAAAACAACACGGAATGTGGTGATTCCGCAGATCAGCTGCAGCGGACGGCAACAGACAGCGTCGGGTCGAACTGGGACGTATGACGTAAAAGTCTGATTGGTAAACATGCTTTCGAGTAACCTTAAAGGTAGCTGAATTTCAAGTGCCCGGAGTGTGAAGATCTAATGTACAGGGGTTCCGGAATACGAAAATATCGAAACGTGACGCAAACAAGCAGTGTTCTACTTCCAGCCTAGTGTGTAGAAGTTTTATGCGCACGGGGTGTGTCGTTTGTTCTTCAATTTGTTGAATGGCTGACCGATTTGTCGAGCTTAATTTTTGTTGTCCGACATTATAGACCTGCAGTCACGTGTGTAGCCGGCAAGAATGTTAACATGTTCACGGTTCACGCTGTGGAGAGTTTCAAAGATTTTAAACCGACTTATTCATGTGCGCCGCGTCATTTGCGCTGACATGCGTACCAAACGGAAGTAACAACGACGGCAAAACATAATAGCAAAATTTTTCAAATGCCGTGCTACATATTTCTGTCAATCCGCAGAGAAACTTGTACTCGTACATACGCCAGATTACATTGGCCGGATATTTCGCCCTTAAAAATGCTCACAAAAAGTCTTCGTCAGTCAGAAATCCTTGTTGGGTATAATGTCGAAAGTGTTACGGAAGTTGCAAGGGTATGTCAAGGCGGCTTTGAATTTTTTTTTATGTAGTATCAGAAGTCGTGGCCTTTTAGTTTGCGAAAGGTACGACAGGACTGAAAGTTCCCATTAGTTAACTGGCCGAAGCTGTCATTATCACCTTTTCGGCGTTTGCTTTGGTGTACAGTCGCCGCGCGATGTGTATAATGCGGCTCTGGTGTCCAAGACACACCTAAACACTCACCACACCTGTCGTAGACAGATACCTGTCCTAAACACACACCTTGCAAATCAGTTTTACTTAATTACACAGTCAAGTTGACATAATTGCACCTGTTGGTTTCTGTGCTACCCGTTTTTATCTATATCTTTTGCTTTTTTGTGACAGTTTTGAAAATATATTAAGTTTTTGATCACTTCGGAGGCTGACATGGCTTTGTTTTTCTAAAGCTGGGTTTCTCAATCTTCATTATGAAATGCATAAGCGGCTACGAAAGTGTTTTTGGGCTTGACTATGTCCATTTTACAGTACATTTATCTGATCTGCCAGGTAGTCTGCATGCAGTTCGCATTGTGCTTGTAAACAAGGGCGTCGGGCGGGAAGGTTCACACTTTGTTGACATAGGTACTGAGCCGCGATACTTTGTATTACCGTTTTATGAACACAAATTTGTAGCTACGCCGTAAACTTTTATGCATAGCAGGCAACAGTTTTTTTACAGTATACAATTGTTTTTGAATTTAGCATTTTTAAAAACAGCTCTTTATCGTCCGCACTATCAAAGCTGGAAGCAGCACCGCGTAAAATAAATACAGTCCACATCTGCAAAGCCTATTTGTCTCTGCACAGTTCGCATGCAAATGTTCCTTTTGCTGTTCGGGCTTGCTTAACACAATTAACGTGAGAAACTGTTTTATAAGACACCCTTTGTAGCGGCAGGTGACAATTTCCTTAGCCGAATCTGGTTTTGGCACTCTGCAGGTGCAGATAATGGGAAACCGGTGCACAAATCGCTCGACATCGGCACATGGCTCCAAAACCTTATTTAGACCGACGACATACGGGAAAGGAGTCATAAATTTGTTAAAAACGCAGCTGTGAAGGTGTTGGCGCATCTGAAAAATTGCATGTTTCTTCACGTAAGCTTTAACCAAGGTTAAGTCACCGGTTCAATTAAGTCAATTAAGAATTTAAAAAATTTATTATCATCAGCCATGTTTGAGGGAGTGTTGCCAAACATGTTTCAATAGTCAAGCTTGCACTAATAGATTATGTATTTAAAATGAGAAATGGGAATTGGGAATACAAAACACCCTAATAGGGTACCTTGCAATGTCCGAGTTTAGCACAAGTACGTGTAATCAGCACTCAGATCCTTTGCTAAATGCTTCCGAAATTTACTACTATTCAGTCAATTATCCAGAAGATCTATATAAAGTATGTTTTCGGAAACGGGTGGATTTCCCGTAAAAGAGTACCATACACGGGTCGCGGTTGGCAGCGGCGGGATCGGTGACACAGCCCTGATATGCACCACATATAATATTCACATGCTGCACTTCAGACATGTAATAACGAACGGAAACCGTAAGAAAATGTGGCGCAGAGGTAAGGCAGCTATTCGTATACTTTATAGTAATAAACAGTGTAGTTAGCTTCTTACCAGAGATTTCTTAAAAACGATGTTGCGCAAGTCCTGCCCATGACATACGGCTGTGGCGCACGCCAGAACATATACCCCGCAATCGGAATAATTTGGCTGCTGGTTGCAAGGCTGCAGACGAATCTCAATTTCTGCCGAAGTCGCGTTAGCTAAAGCTGCGCTAATTTTCATCAATTCGGAATCTCTATTGTGTCGTGTATTTTTTACTTTTATTCTACTTGGGAGGTACCTTCCCGCCTGGTCATCCATTATCTTTGCAAAAATCCGGCGTAAAAACAGTACGTGATGGTGCTGTCCAGATCAATTATTAGAAAGGTCACTGCATTGTTAACTTAGTTACCATTTGGCTGCCACCTATGATTCCCTACGTAAATGTGTACATCTCCTCTGGCGTGCTTGCGAGCCTTTAACATCGGTGCCAGCAAAATGTTTACTATTTCTTACATTAAAACCTTATGATTATATACAGTTAACCAACTACACCACAAACAGTGGCTTGGCAACACTACGGTATGCATTAACGACATGCTGCTAACAGTTTCAAGCAAAATATACCGGTTTCCGGTTTAGATTTGCTTAAACAACGTCAACGCTCAGAAGTCGATCGGGTAAACGCGAAAAAACTGAAAAATCCAACACGACTGAAAAAACATTCGAAAAACAAACCGAGCTGGCAAAGCAAATTTTCTGATCGTACGAAATTTACAAAACTGGCATATACTGAGCTGAATACATCTTTACCGGAGTTTTTGTGGCGCTTAATTAACATTTCGGCCTAATAAATTATCAGTTTAAAATCCTATTTATGATGTATCGTACTCGCTCTTGCACCCTGAGTTATTTTGATGGCTATTGCCTACTAAAGTAAATTAAATTTAAAATCACTGTTTATTAATTTGTAGCTGTTATTGCATAATATATATGTCGCAGACAAACTTTCATGGCCAAAGCTAACAATAGATGTTGCTATCTACAGGGCATAACAGTATAATTGTACCGCAGTTTGTCTACCATACTGCTGATTCTGGATTGCCTTGCAAACTGTAATAAACCACCCGATACAAGGCAACAATCCTACGGAATACCTAATTCTACAATAATCTCGATTTTTTATCATTCCGAAAAAGCTGATGTCCTAAATTAAACACTTCGTACTTCAGAAATTTTTGAAACGGCAACCTCTGCTTTGGAAGCGCTTGATTTCGGTGCTATCGTCTGGGCGTCGACGTTTTGACCCACGGTAACCGTTGGTGTCGCCTGTGCGAAGAAGGGGGGCGGCATATATTGTCCGAATGGATACGGCTGGTACGCTGGAGGAACACCTCCAGGAAAAGCACCACCCGCATACCACGGTGTAACATGTGCCGGGTAATTTGCAGAAGCCGGGGGGTGGGAAAGTATGGATTATACATCGGTGTGTGTGACAAACGGTCCGGCAGTAGCTGCTGAAGGTCCCTCAGCAGCATCAGCTGTTTGTGGCATTCCGGCGGCATGCCCATTAAATACCCAAGGGATGTTACCAGGCAAATGATACATCCCGATCCACAACGCTCACACAATAGATGGTAAATCTTACAGTAAAAACTGATCATAAGATTATCGCAAACTTGAATTTACACAAGAATTATCCGCTAGAAACCACTTTGTTATGTATTGTAACTTGCAAAAGATTCGAGCTCTTTATTCGCGCAACGGATTATTAGGATTTCCAGAGTTGTAAAGCAACGACACCGTCTGTCCATTCATTCACTTTCTTAACAAGAGAAGCAACACAGTTCTACCGGTACAGCTGATCTCATTGATACAGAGCAGACAGATTCTCGATCTATCAAGATGATGTTCCTTAACAGCACGGTACAATTTCTGCTTACACATTATGTAGCGATGCAGGGATAAAAATAGTGAGCAGCGCTGGAGATTGAGGGAGAGAGAGAGGAAGTTGTTAATTGTTGATGGTGCTTTATGATACTCTGCCGTGCTACCGCATCCATTCTTTTGCAAGTGCTCATCAACATCTATTTGTAATGACCAAAAGTCCTTAATACACGATTATTAAATGTGACGGCACAACAGCGGTAAAATATAGCGACTTTAAGCATTATTTACA